CATCAAACTAGACATACCCAACTCCAGCAGCCGTTCCCTATATGCTCTAGCCTCCAGTCCCCTAATCATCTTTGTTGCTCTTCTCTGTACTCTTTCTAAAGTCTCAACATCTTTTTTACATCGCGGTGACCAAAACTGGATGCAGTATTCCAAGTGTGGCCTTACCAAGGCATTGTAAAGTGGTATTAACACTTCACGTTCCCAGTTCCTGGGAAACTGCTCCTTCAGTGTAGTCACCACACATCTCCCCCTTCATGGACACAATCCTTTCACAGATCTCCAATGAAAACATTTCCCTGCCTTAATTCTTGGAAAGAAGACAATTCAACAGAATATCAAGATTGGAAGGACCTTGGAGATCTTCTAGTCCAGCCCCCTGCTCAAACAGGAAACCCTATACCATTTCACACAAATGGTTGTCCAATCTTTTCTTAAAAACTTCCAGTGTTGGAGCATTCACAACTTCTGGAGGCAAGTCGTTCCACTGGTTAATTGTTCTCACTGTCAGGAAATTCCTCCTTAGTTCTAGGTTGGTTCTCTTCTTGATTAGTTTCCATCTGTTGCTTCTTGTCCTGCCTTCAGGCGCCTTGGAGAATAGCTTGACTCCCCCTTCTTTGTGACAACCCCCTTAGATATTGGAAGTCTGCTATCATGTCACCCATAGTCCTTATTTTCATTAAACTAGAGTGTCTGATATCCCTCTGCAATATTTCTTTTTACATTGAATTTTTTTTAAAAAAATCCATCCTTTGCATTATTCTAACTACATGTATGAAATAACCCACATTCATTACATCAGGGCTTTTCAACCTTTTCACCCACGGTACCACTTTTAGGATATGGCAATATCTGAGTACCACCAGTCGCCTAGCAAAATGTCAAAAACATGATGACCAAAAAAAAAAAAAAAAGTAAAAAAGTGATAAAGTACAGGTAGTCCTCGACTTACAACAGTTTGCTTAGTGACTATTCGAAGTTACAATGGCACTGAAAAAAGTGACCCCCAAGCCACAGCCGAGCAAGACACCTGCCTGCCCACCCGGCGATGCTGTGAGCATTTCTGTTGAGGATTGGCAGCGGGGGTGGGGTGTGTTTGGCTTTTATTCCCCCCCCCCCGTCTGCTGGGTGGTTGCAGCAGGTTTTGGTCACTTCACATGATCCTGGGACACTGTGACCGTCATAAATATGAATCAGTTGCCAAGCATTTGAATGTAAATCACAAGATCCTGGAGATGCTGCAACATTCCAGCTGATCGGCGCTTCTTCTGGGCTCAGCAGAAGTACCAGGATCAGCACCAAGTTCCAGCTGGAGCCTGGCGCTGATCCTGGCGCTTCCACTGAGCCCTGACAGCCCTGCAGCTCCAGCCGTCTCTCGCTCAGGCTTGTGAGGTGCTGCCACCGGTTCAGCTCATTCCCCTCCCCCGCTACCACTTTTCTAGGATGCTCACATACCATCTGCCAGATGCCAATGTACCACAGGTAGTACCCGTACCACTGGTTGAAAAGCCCTGCATTACATCTTTCCCCTCGAAATACTCATTCCCCTACCCCTCCACATTATATCATCATGCAGTCAAAGCAAATCCTTTTGAAAACCTACGCCGGCAGTCCAGTTTTAAAGAATCGCGGTATTTTGGAAACCTACCTCTCCATGTTTTTAAAAATGTTGCATTTATCATCCCTGGTGGTGATTTGGAAGGCCAGGGCTGCGTGGTGGCTTTCCAACACGGCCGTGTCGTTGTACAAAATGGCCAGTTCGCTTCCTGCGTTGCACAGGAAAGAGTTGGTTCGCCCAGGGTGATCCACATCGTGGACAGTGGCAGCTATCAACGCAGCAACTTCATCAATGGGATCCAAGGTTTGCTGAGAAGAATAAGAGGAAGAGGCTGGGAGAGGCTCAGGAAGAGAGAGACTCAGCTCAATGTTGCAAAGATGGATGCTGTAACAGTTGTACAGTAGTTCGAGAATCTCCCCTCGGGAAATGTCAAGGCGCCTGGGGTGGTCTCATCGGAGTCACACCAAAAGCGGTGAGATGGTTGGCTTCCTTAGATATTGAACTACAGGTAGTCCTTGACTTATGACTGCATCTGAGCCCCAAGTTTCTGTTGCTACATGAGATAGCAACAGAAACTTGGTTTCTAGGCCAGCACCTTGGTCACCTCACCGAACTGGCTTTCTTTATAATGGTTGATGCTAGTCGTCCTTTTATATTCGTTATGATTGAGAGTTGGGGAGAGTTGACATGCTCGGTATTTTGTACACGGATTTTTTTTAAAGCATTCTGTATGCTTATTTGTACTGAGTAGAGACCCCAAACTATTATAACTTTAAAAACTGCATGCATAATCATACACACCTATTCAACTGAGTTTTCTCCTGTTTTACGAGCAGTTGTTAAGTTAATAACACAGTTGTTAAGTAAACCTGGCTTCCCCATTGACTTTATAATAATAATAATAATAAAGTTGGAAGGGACCTTGGAGGTCATCTAGTCCAACCCCCTGCTCAGGCAGGAAACCCTATACCATTTCAGACAAATGGCTGTCCAGTCTCTTCTTAAAAACTTCCAGTGTTGGAGGGGGACCTACATGACCCCAGGACACCGTCATAAATAGGAGTCAGTTGCCAAGCACTTGGATTTTGATCACATGACTATGGGGATGTAGCGATGGACATAAGTGTGAAAACGGATCACACCAGTGCTGTGGTCATTTCAAACAGTCACTAATTGAAAGGCTGTAAGTCAAGGGCTACCTGTATAACATGGAACCTATTGCAATTCTATGGCATCATAAATAAGGCGATCTTATCATGGCTTTACCCTATTTTTTTTCTCCTCTACTGTATTGTCCACACATTTTACATATATGGATAGGCTGGTAATGTTATATATATATATATTTGTACACATAATGTCTTTTATTAGTGTTATGTATCAGTGATCGCATGACCTCTGTAGATGTCATACACTACACAAAATAAACAAACAAGCAAATAAATAAATAAATTCCTCACATGGACCTCATATAGAACCCTGAGGTTCACGGACAAGATGCCTGAATGCCAAAGGATCCAGAAGTGTAAACAATCTTAAAGACAGCGGTGGGGAACAACTTAGTAATAGGGAGGAAAAATTTCTAAAATAGCTCAACGAGAAATCAGCAACAGCCACAAAATGCTATCTGGCAGATGGAAAATTGGAGGGTTGGGAAAAGGAGCAGAGAACGAGATGGAGCACCCTGGAAGAAGACACGGTACGTTGAACTTTGAGATTCCATTCATCGCTGCTTCCCATAAGTTATACTTGCGGATGGTCCGTTCCTGATGCAAGGAACAAACTCAGTGGAAGCTTCCTTTTTTTTAAAAAAAAAAAAAAGCAAAAATTGCGTTTCTTAGGCCACCCGAGCAGTTTCCTTGGAACACGATGCTTACACAAACCTCAGATCTTGCTTGAATATATACACAGAGCTGATTAATGATCTCTTGGAACAGTAATAGCCCAAGCGCTCTATACATACTGTACTTTCTTTGGGGTTCTCCGGGCTTAGGAAGTGTTGATATTACAGATCCAAGATGATCTGAAGCTTACTAGCAGAGAATCCGCCTTCTGCCTGCAGTTAAAACCCCAAATATCTGCAGATAGAAGCAACTGATTGCAAATGATGGGAAACAGCTTTGGAAGGGACTTTGGGTTTTCTTATTCAGGTAGGCAACCCAAGGCCAGAGGAGGCAATAATCAGCTAAGGTTGTTTCCAAGTTTCTTTTCCTAAGCTACCAGAATTACAGAATAACAGTTGGAAGGGACCTTGGAGGTCATCTAATCCAACCCCCTGCTCAGGCAGGAAACCCTATACCATTTCAGACAAATGGCTGCCCAGTCTCTCCTTAAAACCTTCCAGTGTTGGAGCATTCACCGCTTCTGGAGGCAGGTTGTTCCACTGGTTAATTGTTCTCACTGTCAGGAAGTTTCTCCTTAGTTTTAGGTTGTTTCTCTCCTTGATGAGTTTCCATCCGTTGCTTCTTGTCCTGCCTTCTTTTCCTGCCTGCTCTGGAGAAAGGCTGACCTCCCTCTTCTTTGTGGCAGCCCCTTAAGACTTATTTTTGCTCTTTCCCAGACTTACCTTCACTCTTTCTTTAGAAAGGAAGTAGGCCGTGGCGTGCAGCACGTCCGCCGAGTGGGTTGAATTGTGGTAAGAGTTGGATAAGTGATAATTGGCTTCTATGACTTGCAACCAAGACCTCAGAGTAGACTCAGAGCAACCGAGAAACTCACAGATCCGAAAGCGGGCAAAGAGTTTGAGGCCAAGATAAACTAAAGGCCTGGAAGGAGGGGAAAAAAAGGGTACTTCAATTTCCCCTATTCTTACTTTGCACCAAAAGCAAAATAAACAGCAAGAGAAATACGAGCCTTTGCCCAGGAGACCAATCTCTCCCAGAGTGCTGCTACTCCTGTGTTTTTCTTTGCTTCTCCTACAAACCTTTTATGAGTTGCAGCCTCCAATTCAAAAATATTAAAATCCCAATATTCTTCATTTTCCATTGCTTGAGCTATGCTGGGCGGGATGTCGTTCAGGGAGATGGGTGAGATCAAACTGCCCGGTACTTGATGGGTTTCTAAAAAAAACAAAGACATTGGGGCGAAAGTATTACAGGCATACCTGGAACTCGAATGAGAAAACAGAGCCAGGAAAGAAGAATAAGAATAAGAATAAGAATAAGAATAAGAATAAGAATAAGAATAGGAATAGGAATAGGAATAGGAATAGGAATAGGAATAGGAATAGGAATAGGAATAGGAATGGAATGGAATGGAAGGAAGGAAGGAAGGAAGGAAGGAAGGAAGGAAGGAAGGAAGGAAGGAAGGAAGGAAGGAAGGAAGGAACCTTTGGACATAATAGGATTAACCCATCACCATCAGAATACCAGAAAGGCACACTCAGACTCAGGTCAAAGTTCATGCCACAGGAAGCAACTCCAAACAAAAGGCTCCAGAGGGTATAAAACCCGCTCCCTACATGTGCTCGCTTTCTTTTCTTCCAGAGCCATCTTTCTGTCTGGCTCTCCTTTTCAATAAACTGCAACTTCTTTCTAAAGCAGTCACCGTGTTGTTTATCTCTGGCTTGGACTGAACCATGATAAAGACTTTTCTTCCAAACACTTATAAACACTGAAAAACTGGAGACCACTTTCTAGACCAAACGGCTTTGCTTTAGCCTCAAGAACTAATCTCAATATTCTCTTTTTCCTCCTCCTTCTGTTTTGTCTATTAGGTCTGTAAGCTGGCCTGCTATCTTCAAAATATTGACGAAACTTTAAGCCTCTTAGCAAACAAGATACCTTTCCAAAACTATATGCCTCTTTAAGATGGCATATTTAGCTTGACTAACAAGGGTCTGGTGATACAGCAGTAATTACACAACCCTGCACATTGCTTCTTTGTTTGTCTCTCTTCAAGATAATGTTTTGGCTGTGCTATCCCCAGAATGAAATTGCGGAAGATCACACCTTTCAAGTATGGTAAAGAGCAGTACTTACGCTTTGCAGATAATATGTATTCATTCCCCGATAATCTTCGTAGTCCATCCTATTGAATAAAGTTGAAAAAGAATGTAGAATGAAATAAAGACCCTTCTTAAATGTGCTCTTTGGGGACATGTAATGGCACAAGGGGAATATAAATCAGAAAATGTTGTTTGAACCCTCTATCCATCTCCATCTAGTCTAGAAGCAAGAAGCAGACTCTCAGTTGGTTGGAGCAAAGCAAATTCTATTATCGCTGATCCTAAAAGAAGTATGCTCATTATCACTTTTTTTTTCCTTTTAAAGACCCTGGAATTCCTTTGCATTGGAGTGGACTTGGGGCGACTGGATAGAGCTGAGCATTTACTGGCCAGATGCCCTTCCTAATGCCTATGCAGTGTTCATAGCAATTAGTCATTTGCGCCCAGAGAGAGAATATCTGCTGCTACCTGGGATCGAACTCATAGCCTCCTGATGGTGAGGTGGGAGCTCCACCTCTAGCCACCACACCGCTCCTATGCTAATTATCACTTAATTGGCCTTCAAAATGGCATGTGGAAGGCCCAGTAAAGTAGGTGGCTATAAGATCTAGGGCAATGTTCACCATCTGGTACCCATCAAATGTAGAGAAATCCAACTTCCACTGTCCTTATCCATGAGGAACTTGGATGAGGAATTCTGGAGCTTTCTAGGTAGCAGAATTCCATTTATTGAGTTCCTTGGCTAAACAAACCTGCACGGTCCAATTTTATCTATTGAAAAGAAGAGAGGCAAAATCAGGGGTGGTTCCGAGCAAGAGATTGCCTTTCTAACACTCCAGATTGGAAATCGATAAGATTTTTCCTTTGTTTCGGCTGCTTACTGTATTTTGTGCTTATTTATTGATTAAATTACCATGTCGCTCGTCTCCCCTACGATGTGACTCTGATAAAAGCCTCCGGTGTCTTGGTCAAGAAGCCATCCATAAATTTAAAAGCAAATTGAACTGTATGCATCTTCAAACTAAGAGTTTTGTAAAAGCTTTTTTTTAAAAAAACAAAAAAACAATAAGCAGGTCTTTCTGCTGAACAGGCAAGCCACTCATCAATTTAAAATAGGCTGGGCTTTATCAGCAAGATGTTTGTAAACTGGTTTTAGCCCAGCAATTTATCCAGCTGAAGGCTGAGCTGATTTTCCATCTAAAACCAGTTTGGCTGATCAATGGAAGCCGCAAGAAACTCTTGTCAATATATTTGCAGACTGGCAGCTTGCACAGAAGCGATAGGTCGGGGATTCGCTATCGTTGCAAGATAGCTGCGGTGAGCAGATTCGGATTGCCATCAGCCGTTCCATCAAATATTTTGATTTTAATTACCGTCATCAAGCCACCGACAAGGTCACTTGTGTGGGGATCTTCATCTTTTGTGCCAAGCTGCGGAGAATACAACTCAGTAGTCCTCAAGATCTCCAGGACTCTATCCAACGCTTCGGCCACTGGCATGGGACTGCTTTCTTGAGCAGCGTTGATAATATTGATTACCTAAACAGGGAAAAGAAAAGAAATAACCCTATATTTACCTAAAGGGAGTACATTTTCCCTGAAATCATTTATCTTTCAAAAGGATGGGTCATCTAAATTGGCTGAGTATCATTCATTCATTCATTCATTCATTCATTCATTCATTCATTCATTCATTCATTCATTCATATCCAGGCTTTTACTATTTTTACAAATAACTCAAGACAGCAAAGATATCCAGTTGGTCTGAGAGCAACACCAGGCAAAGACATGGGAGTTTTGCAGCAGGAGAAAGCAGAATTTCCAACAGACTGAAGTGACCTCACACAGGAGTGCCTTACCTTGGTTATAGGTGCCTCGATTGTCATGGAATGTATGCGGGCCATGGACGAGTGCCTCCTCTGAGAACTTCCTGTGCAAGGAAAAAAATGAAGGGGCCCATGAGTTGGTGGCATCAGCTTCTCCAAACTGTTGTTGTTCTTACTGAATATTAGAGTTTTCTGCTCACTAAAATATTTTACATTGCAACGTAAAGCCAGCAAGCATCCTGTCCAGGGGCGAAGAATCAGGATCAGGTGATAGCTTCCAGTTAAACTGATTTATTGCTCATGCCTAGACCGAAGAATTTAGGCAACTAATGGTCAGCACTGATGTCAACGCTGCTAACATCGGATGTTTCGCTTTGACAACAGTTGGAGATGCAACCATTTTCTTCTTATGTTTTACTCTTGGAGTTAGAGTGAGATGATGCTGGGGGAAGGAATGTGCATGAGAGTTTAGCTAGACATAACAATACTGGACCTGGTGTGTGAACCAAGGAATGTGCATGAGAGTTTAGCTAGACATAACAATACTGGACCTAGTGTGTGAACCAAGGTTATTGAAATAAGAGATGATAAGAATTGGCGGGTTGGAGAACTGGAGGGAAAGCCTGCATTTCAAACTAATTGGAGAATGTGATTTGTGACTGTTAATTGGAGGAGGGAATTGTGCTTTGATACTATGTGCTCAGGGGAGGGGAATTCAGTTTTTGGCTTCAACTGTGTTAGTGCCGACACTATGCTTCTCAAATAAAGATTCTTTAAGGTAAACAATGCCTCGAAGTTCTTTGAAGAGTTTCCTCTGTCGGAACCATGACAACTAAATTGGTACTAGATAAGGATCAATGGAATTCAAGGTTTAGACCGCTTGTGGGAATGTAATGATTCCAGGCTGATTCCTCCTTTGACTCCACCCCCAGGCTCTGCCTGATCTTGTGCACATCCAACTTTCACCAGCTGAGTCTGACTGCATTATAAAAACAGCAGCTGGGGGAACAGCATGCACACACCCAAAGTTTACATCTTTGTCACTGCAAAAAAAATTTTCCCCCAAATGAAGGCAAGTGTGTGTCATGGATTTCGAAAGAAGCAGGAGACCCAAGGGTACTGATTATTGAGAAGGTAATTAAAAAAGGTAATTTTACACAAAAAAAAGCTAATCATATACCATCACTGCCTCGAGAGGTAGTGGATCGGACGTCGAGAGAGCCTTTTCTCCTGTCTTTGTGTCTGCAGGTCTGGATATCTGTAAAAACAAAGAAATTAGACCATCGCTACTGTGAGAAAGAACAGTCTCTTCGGAAGAGGCAGGAATTCATGGTTGATCGCTCCTGAAACTTGTTCTGTTGGCCCCAAATTGGTGACTGGAAGCGGTTCTACTTGGTTCTGTCCCGATGGTAAGATTAATTCAGCCTTGAACTAAGAACATGAAATAAGTCTGCTGCAGGAAGTCCTCAACTTATGACCACTGTTGTTAAGCAAAGTGGTGGTTAAACGAATCGCACCTGAATTTACAGTCTTTTTTTTGACATTGCTGTTAAACAAACCACTGCAGTTGCTAAATGGATCACGTGGTCATTATGAGAATCAAGCTTCCCTCACTGACTTTCTTGTCAGGAATCAGCTGGGAAGATCGCAAATGGTGATCCTATGGCTCTAGAACAGGGGTAGGCAACCTTGGCTCTTTTATGACTCTTGGACTTCAACTCCCAGAATTCCTGAGCCAGCATGGCTCAGCTTGGAAACCTCTCCCTTTCCCCTCAGCATGGCTGGCTCAGGAATTCTGGGAGTTGAAGTCCACGAGTCATAAAAGAGCCAAGGTTGCCTACCCCTGCTCTAGAACAATGCAACCGTTGTATACCTGCTGTTTACAAAGCACCCAAATTTTGACCGCATGACTGTAGGGATGTGGTGATGGGTGTAAGTCCGAGGACTGGCTGAAAGTCACTTTTTTCAGTGCCATTGTGCCTTCAAACAGTCACTGAGTGAAAGGTTGTAAATCAAGGACCACCTACATTTTGTTGTTCCTTTTTATGCTGGAACAAACTAACAGGAACAAAATTTGTACCTTTTTCTTTTCCAAAAAGTAAAGAAGTTCCTGACAGTGAGGACAATTAACCAGTGGAAGGGAAGTTGCCTCCAGAAATTGTGGGCGCTCCATCACTGGAAAGATTTTTTAAGAAGAGACTGGACAGTCACTTGTCTGAGATGGTATAGTTTCTCCTTGAGCGGGGGGCTGGACTAGAAGACCTCCAAGGTCCCTTCCAGCTTCTATTCTCCATCCAGAGGCTGTTTCTCCCCATGCAACTTTTCCTATAATCACAAAAAATGTCCCACCCCATCCAACTTCTGAACGGACCAGTGATTAGCTTTGTTGTTTTTTTTCTCTTCAGATTCGAAGAGAACAAACCTTACCGAGCCCAACTTTATTCCCCCAAATGGACCAGATTAATGAAATTAGATTTTGCCTGACCCGCTAAGTCCTACCTTACGAATACTAAACACAGTATCTACGGCCTGTCATAGCAGCAGCCAAACAAACATGCCCTTCGCAAGTTCTATTTCTAGCCAGGGTACAATTCAACTTCTGCCCTTTGATATATTAAATCTAAGTTATTGAAATTTTATCCATGATTATTACAGGGGGAGTAAGCTAAATTGGAGTCCTACCTAATGTACACATTAAAGAGTCAAGGTTTCTTCTATTCCTATCAGTTTTCAAACACAGCTGCCATTATTTGTACTTATTTAGTCTCCCCCCCCCCTAGGATAGCATTTTATTGCTGGGCAAATATTATTGCTTTTCTTGAGCAGTTATCATCTCTGCTTCAGTCTCCTTGCTACAATTCCTACAGTCCGTGCATCGAAAGCTTGAGTTTTCAAACCACGGCTGTGCTAACACAATTTGTCGGGCCCAAACAAATCCATTACTTTACACATTAATGCAAAGGTAAGCTCAGTTCAGCCAACAAGCTAAAATTCCTGCAACCACAGAATCCTGCATAATTGGGAGTAATTTGCATTAAGGTTTTCACTGTTAGTATCTCTAATTTGGCTCTTCCAAAATATGCCTAGAAAACACCCTTTTTTTTTTAAGAGAGAAAAAAAAACCCACATTGAGTCTATTAAGAGAGGATAACAAAGCAATTATGGAAACGCAACCAATTTTGTGGACTTGCAACATTATACCTGTCTGGGACTCGGCTTGAACCCGTTCGCAGATTTTTTCCGCCTATGAACGAATCGGAGCAAAAAAAAAAAATACAATTAATCCAAGTTGTATGAATCACCCCGGAATTACAATTTTATTTTATTTTTAATTGTAAGGCACCAACCGGTTGTTGAGGAGTTGAGTAGCTTTGAAACTGAGTTAATTAAATAAATCAATCCATTATGTTTTATTATTATTCCTATTTAAGATTTAATCTTCAATTTGATTCACAGTCTGGGGCTGGTAAAAACTTAACAGTTCAAGTCCTAACCAAGGACCTAAGAGCTATTAAGCTAGCATTTAGGTATATAGGCAGTTCCGAGTAGGGTGGTTTTTTTTTGGTTTTTTTTTGCAAAGTCAGGATATTCTGGTTTAATAAGTTCAAAATCTCCATGTATCTAGGCAGCCCTTTGAGTACTGAGCTTCTATTACAGGGGTGTCAAACTCGCAACATCACGTGACGTGTCGTGACGTATCACGACTTTTTTTTCCATTGCCGGCAATGGGGTGGGCGTGATTTTGCCATGACACATCCGGCCCGTGGGCCGGCAGTTTAACACCCCTGTTCTATTACTATGATTTCTTCCTCCATAGTTACTCAACCTCAATTTGCAAATCATAATTTTTTGTTATTTTTTTCTGCCTGTTTCTCTTCAATTCGTGCATCACCTGGCATTGCAATAATAATGAACCAGACTTTTTTCCTATTTTTATATTATTATTATTATTATTATTATTATTATTATTATTATTATTATTATTATCATCATCATCATCATCATCATCATCATCATCATCATCACCATCCCTTACCTTACCTTATTATTGTCGTCGCACGGTCTACTAAGTGACACATAGTGTCTAATTTTTCTGCAGGAATGAAACAAAAGAATGGAATGAGAACAATGTTGGTCTCCAACTTGTTAATGACTCCAGTGGTCATTTGCTGACAGCTAAACCTTGACGGCACAACAACAAGACTTACCCTCCCTGTCCAATGACAGGTATGATCTTCACATTTTGTTGTATGCTCTCGCCATTTTTCTTTTTGGTATAGTAAGTTCCTTGCCATTCCTGTAGACAGAGAAAGAGGAATGTTCTACCTTAAAAGATGACCCATCCTCAAAGCAGATCTCTGACTCGTTGGCTTGCACTGATCTTGGATGGTTGCTTAAAGGAAAGCACTGCTTTGTGAGGGTTAGCAAACTAACTCTACCCTTTCCTGGCGTCGGGCACAATGTTGTACCATCTGCTATAACCTCCTACTGCACTGCTGTTGGACTTTTTCTGTTGCTT